AAGCTTTTAGTTGTCGGCGAAAACGTTCTACCAACCCGTTTGCTTGTGGATGGTAGGCGGTCGTTCGGAAGGGAGTGGTTCCTTGTTACGGGAGAACTGAAGACTTTTGACGGATTAAAACCTTTTATTGTACATTAATACTTTACTGTGCTTTTGGATGTAATTGTTTTACTTAACTTTTGAACTTGTTTGTTTATATCATTATTTCGGACATTTTGGTTTGTCTTTGGTTTGGTATTTCGGTGCTCTCTTTGTCTTTGGTTTGGTATTTGGGAGTTTTGCTCCGGGAACCTACAAAATTGAAGGTTTGTTTTGTAATTGTTATAATTATTGTTGTTAGAACGACATTTGGTCGACTATTTGTAAATTACGAATAAATTTGGTATCTAAATTGGAACTTGGTTTTGTTGTTAATTTGGGTTCGTAATTTGCAAGTAGATCGATAGTCCGTACTTCAATAACTGGAACGAGCAAAACTTGGACGTAACAGTTCCTAATAGTGCGGTCAGACAACGGAAAAGTCCAGATTCGAACTGGCGTCCACGATCTGTAGTGACGGTTGAAGGGCAGCCGAAGCTTGCTACCAATCGTTCTACGAAGGTGCGGTCCACTGTTATGCAAGATAAGGCGTCTGCAACTACATTGTTTGCTCCAGAGATGTGTTGAATATCTGAAGTAAACTGCGAAATGTAGTCTAGTTGTCGAGACTCACGGGGAGAGTATGTAGAACTATGGTCTACTATGATATTAGTACTGCTCTAATAATAGACCTAACCCTAAATTTGTAGATTTGTCATGATATAACTGCCTAATCTATAAGATCTTACGTGGAAGTCACACCATCGACTACACCAACTGACTGTATCGTATCAATTACCAATACATGATGTAGAACAAGGTTAGGCTAGAGAAAGAACAATATATTTAATATGAATAGAAGATATAAGGTAACATTCAGCAGAGACCACGCCTGCATGGCCGAGCCATGTCACTCGATCGACTCCAGTCCATTCAATTCATTCTCCGCGCCTTCTTTATTGCTAGGTATTTCCCCGAGTTAAATACTGAATATCCATTTTCTGAGTAGTCTCGTGTTCACAGCTTTGTGGATTGTGTGGCTATTGTCCAATGCCACTACAAGTACTTGTCTGAAGGCGAGCTTAACGAGAAAGTGAGTGGTTTATGGTCAGTGAAAAGGGTGAATTCACGACCTTCGATGTAGTGTTGAAAATGTCGTACAGCACAATACATAGCTAGGAGTTCCTTACCGAATGTGCTGTACCTCGATTCGGTGTCTAGCAACCGTCTAGAGGAAAATGCTAAGGGTTGCCAGGAGTTGTTAACCCATTGTTGTAAGACTCCTCCGATTGCTGAGTCGGATGCTTCTACTGCGATGCTAATGGGTGCTTGAGTGTCCTGATGTGCAAGCATTGTTGATTTAGCGATGAGTTCCTTAATCGTGGAGAATGCTTTTCGTGCGGTGTCGTCCAAGTTAATAGATTTCGTATTTCCGCAAAGTTGATCGGCAAGAGGTTTCGTGAGTAACGAGCATTTCGCAATTCACAAATAATCGACCAAAAGTCGTTCTTCAATTTTGTAGGTTCCCGGAGCAAAAACTCCCAATTAACAAACCAAAGACAAAGAGAGCACCAAAATGTTCAAAAATAGTGATATAAACAAACACGTTCAAGAGTTCAGTAAAACAATTACTTCCCAAAACATAGTGAATTAATAATATTCGAAATAAAGGTTTTTATCAGCCCAATGTCTTCAGTTCTCTCGCAACAACCGCTACACAAGGACGAGATCTATTATTAGAGCAGTACTAATATCATAGTAGACCATAATTCTACACGTTGCTTTTGAGTCTTTAGACTGAGTTATAGATCATGGTTGGACAGGAGGTTACAAATGAGAGTCCATGTATTGCTTTGTAGAGAAATATTAGATAGTACCGTAAAGGTTCTAAGAAGAGGTGCTTACATCTAACTTTGTAGTTGACAATGGAGTCACATCCTAGCAGTCGGCGTATGAAGCGTCTTTTGACATCTTCTACTCTTATATTGACTGTGGTATTCATATTTGAGAAGATGAAAGAGCAATATTCAAGGGATGGTCGTATGCGTATTTTGTGAAGAATGAGCCTAGACTTTTTTGTAAACAAATTTTTTATTATGAAAGAAACTAGCTGTTTATATTTAGGAATAATAGACGAGGCATGTTCTTCAAATTTAGGGTTCCTGTGTAAGTAATAGCAAGATCGTGCACTGATCTGTGTGTTGGAACCCTACTTTTATTTAAGTAAGGTTGTAAATCGTAGGGATGTTTTCCAAAATGTATGATCCCGCACTTGTTGAGACTAAATGGTAATTGTCACCTTTTGCTCCGTTTAACCAAACAGATACTCTACAAACACACAGCAAATGAACTATGGAATGGGTGACTAATTTTAGGCCTTCCAAGGTCGTGGAAATGAAACGGCAGGCGGCCTTGAGTGCATCTGAAATTTTTGCAGTGTTGTTAAGAGTATTTACTCACGGAGAAGTATAGGCCACTCATCAGTATTCTCAATCAAACTCTGTCCTGGACAACCTTTTCCAGTTGTTTTCAGTTGCTGCTCATTCTTCTGATGTCTGCTTTGAAATATCGACACAATATGTTACTTGGTCTTCCTCTTTTCCGTTTCCAGTCAGGTGGATGTCTACATACAGCGTCTTTTTCTTATTTCCTTTTCAGCTGGAAGCTGGTTTGCTCTTGAAGATGCCACAGGTATTCGGAGTTTGACAACGCTTTAACTAGTAACACCTCATAATACGAATCATACCCACCAAGTAAAATAAAAAAAACAGAAGTGAGGAGGTCCGAAGATATATTTGATAGGTTATCTATATATCAAGGATCGTCTGATCTAATCTGGCTAGCGATTACAGAGGATGTTGAGCACGGCGTTCCCACTCGTGAACTTTTGCGGATGCATGACCGAGCGCATTCAGTTAGGTGAGTCCATTCAAACTAATGTGGTCAGTATCCAACGTCGAAAACTCACAGAGCTATTTATTTTGGGGATTTATTTATCGATACATTCTCCTCCACAGTAGGCTGTTGCTGATAGTATCCGACCAACGCATATTGAGTATCTTGTGTATACAACTGTTTATAAATACTCGTACTGTTTTGATGGTAATTATGGTAGATCTCTAAGTTCTAGCTCCGTTCAGTAGGACGGTCTTGACGTTCATATTAAAGATTTTGATGTTTGTTGACAGTTGTTTTGAGCTCCACATGTTGTTCAACTGTAGGAATACTGTCCTTACTTTCTAATTCTCACATTTACGTCTGCATCAGATTCTCCACGTTCTTCAATTATGCTTCTCAGGTACGTGAACGTTTCTACCTCTTCCAGCTTTTCTCCATGAAGTGTGATTTGGTTGACCGGTATTCTCTGTGTTGCATTTGAGGATCTTGCTTTGTTCCTAGTATGTGTTGATGAATCTGCTTTGCTGATCAGTTGACCCATTGTTAACTGTGTTTGAAGAATTCGACACTCGAGATAGCGCTTTTATCAACTACCTACCCATCGATCTTTGTTTTGGCCTCTGAACAACGACAAACTCTTCCTGTACATTTAGTGGATTGCCTAATAAAAGGTGCCAGATTCGAAGGTTGCTGTTTTATAATTCTTTGTATTTGAAATATTGCGCTCTATTTGGATTTGCAGCACAATGTTTTCATGGATTTTAGTTGGGATAAATAACGATATACCTTGAATCAGTTCTGAAGCTCCTGTGATGTATTTCGCTCGGTTTTTTTAAACAAACTAACGTATTTAACAACCTTCACTCATTTATCTCTTACAATTACTGACTATTTTGAAAGTAGAGTAATTAAAAAGTCTCTCAAAATAATAAAAGTATTTACACACGTTAGTTAGTACACTGAGAATATTTTCAAAACGTCCAGCGTAATTTTGGCTAGGTTTAATCTAATAGTCTTGAGATACTGATTGAGAACAACACAGTCAAATTAATTCATGAACTTTTAGTGACCTACTTTTATCAAGAGAACGCGATTGGTTTAATGGAAACAATTATTATAATCAATTGTACCAGTGATTGTTCTACTGTACTTGTTGGTTTAACTGTAATAAAGACATTCATTATTCTTCCTCCCGTTGATTGTGACCTTGCACGAACTTACGTTTGCTCAGTAAATCCGCTTGTACTTCTTTGGCACGATCTCGGTATTCTTTCGATACCACGAGTTCGCCAATAAATACATCTCGACTACAGCCATCAACTACCTTCTGATATTTGGCCTACGGGGGATCTTATTGGTTAACTGGCACGTAGTCTTCCTGTAGTGGTGATCATAGTCAACCGCGACTCGACGCCACACTACAAACTAATGAGATCTTTTTCTCCGATGATCACTGTCAAATCATGTATCCAAAAGTTACCTGCGCAAGTTTATAGAAAAACGGTGGTACTATAATGTGCGAACAAAATGATTAAATTTAAGATAGCTCCTCTTAAGCTTATGTACGATATTTACTTATTTTTATTGCTACTAGGGATCCTTTAATTATAGCTGGTGTCAGCTTGTAATTAGAACCCTAAACTCTAATTTACTATAATGTAGTTTGGTATGTAAGGGAGTATCAATCATATTAAAGTTAATTATACATTGTAATTTCACTAGTTATTATTGTTAGCTGCTTAATAACCAAAGTTTTCTGATTGGCTTGTGAGCCACTCAAGGCTGTCATTACAGTTTAGTTTTACCTGGTCTTTTGATAATTAACTTCTGTTTACATCCGCTTTTTACCCATTTCTCTATTTTAATTTAAATATATTTCCGATTATGAACTAACTAATCCTTGATGAAATGTAATTTGATGATTTTATTTGTGTCAAAATATAACAGCATTTCAATCTGGCTGGTTGCGGTAATCTCATGCGCGTTAACCAACAAGCAATGTTTCTGCGTAACTACTAATAATTATCAAAGTGGATTATAAGTGACTTATTCTTGGCAGTCAGAAATAGTTTCAAACATACACGACTTCAAGTTATTGTGTGAATATTTTGATCTGAATAAATCATAATGTATACTTGTAGCTACATATAAATGATAATACTTTACATCCATTATGAAGTATACAAACTAAAAGAAAATCTTTATGTATGAAAACCGGGATTAACAGAATGTAGAAAAAATGAGTTAATGAAACAAACATTGTGGGATAAATACATAAATTTAACTTGTCATAATTTAAGAAGCAACATCAAAAGGAGGAGTAAGGGTATTAAAATGAACGAGAATGGAGTAGGCAATAACACTGTATACAAAAAACAAAGAATGGATTCTCAATGATTATTGAACAGAGAATTCCACTGTTAACTTATACTTCTTTGTAATCGACAATAAACTAGATACATATGAAATACTATTTCTGTCTAAACTGAATAGATCATACATTGATCCCATTTATACACCTATTACAAATGCAATAAATCTAATCAACTGTGTGAGTCAAATTAATAACGAGTAAAGATTGGTATATTGATTGGAAACGTTAAAGAGAGTCACATTTAAGTGAGACTTGTCAAATGGATAGATTAATTTGATGCATATTCATTTCGACTCGTCCCACGATGACTTTGACTGATGAATATGCATTTGTGCTGAGCGGAAGATGCATAAAGAGAATTGAAACTGCAAGTTTTACACGTTAAAGTCAAACGTATATTAAAAACAGAGAGGCAACAAACATACAATACATAAACAAAAACAACCTCAACATTTACAATAATAAATGCAGAAGATAATGTTCAAGAGCAATTTTTGTGATGCATACATGAGTTATTGGTAAAATGATGTGATACATGTGTGTATTTGTTGAGTTTATAATTTATTAGTAAAAATAGACATTTCCAAATTGTGTTTGACATTTAATACAATATTGTCATTGAAAAATAGAACAATCATTGGTTGCAGAAGCAATCAAAATACAATGAAACATCACAGTTTTAAAAGTTATTTCTGTTCATAAATAAATAATATCACTACTGATTACCGACCAATACACGACTCATATTGAATGGCAAATCTCTACTACGCATACGTCTAGTTGCTTCAATTAAACTTATTTCTCTCCGATCCAATTCAACTTGACGTTGTACTTCTAGTGTTGCACCTAATGGTTTATTTATATATTTCGGTGCTGGAGTTTCTAACACTGGACCAATCACTTTTGAACCAAATTGAATAACTCGTTTAGGAAATAGTAGTCTTGATTGAACGTTTAAAAAATTTTTATAGTAGGTAAAACCAGTGATCTGTTATAATGGAAAAATTAAAGAATCAAACGAAAATATGTCACATTATCTAACAAAAACTATAAATTATATTAACATTTGTCTAAATATTAAGTATAACCTAAATTTTATTCTACTCCTAGGAAGTTGAAAAATAGTTACTGATTAGTATAGTTAAATATACTTCCTAATATATAGAATCGCCTGGTACTACCGAGGGTGGAGAGAACCAGCTCTCTTTCTCGAAATGCTCTCACGTGTATACAGCCACTGCCAGAGAAGTCCTAATCACTGCCTTCTCGCACCAGGGGTGTTGTTTACGAAATTGAGAGGACGAAAAGCGAATGTCCGGCGCTTTAACCAGGCTGGTGGGCACCGAGAGTCCACCTAGGGGAGTTAGAAGACCATGATCCCAAACCAACGTTGAACATGGGCTCCATGATACCGATGGAACAAATGGCGTATGAACCAATCGTTGGTCACCGGTTACCATGGGACTGCATCTCCTGACGTTGCTCCATTGCCTTGTGGGTCGGACCTTTAGGTCGAAGGCTCGGGGTGTGGCCCCCTAAGAAAACCACCTACTTCGGTTTGGGCACCCGGGCAGTATCACAGCTCACATACATATCAAATGAAAATTGTGTGGCGCATATGTATTTGGTGCCTCCTTGTACCAATATCTATGTGTTAAAATAAATAGTCTGAAGTAAAGCAAAAACCCCTATTTAGAAATTTATGGAAACAATGAGGTGAATTAATTCTTTTTTGTCGATTAGCTTTTCATCAAGCGTAATTTGTAGTAAGAATGTAGTGGCAGCAAAGTAATTTTACATTATAATACTACAATTCAGCAAGTGATTGTGAACATTTATTCTGTTTATCTAAACTTTTCTCACTTTTGTATCTATAGATAATTCTACCACGCTAAAATATCTCCCCAATCATACTATTAGATATTTCGTAATATATGTCAACCGCTGAACCACAAGTTTTCAATTTTTTACGAACAATTACCTTAATTATGTAGAACAGATGAACTGAGACTAGTAGTGGAATCCACGACGTGCACTTCGTCCTAATTTGAACGCGTTAGCTGGATATACCCACATCCCAGTGGTATTCACATTGGGATTCAAATTCAGTGTCCTTCGCTTCAAATGTTAACATGTACGCTGAACTACAAAGTTCAGATAGCCGCTAAGGTGCTTCATTCAGTTGCGTCGTTAATCACTAAACATCATTTTCACTAGCGAAACAGAAATATTATATAGTAGTACTGTTTGATTGGTACTATGCTGTTATCGTAAATTATATTTATACTGGTGCTAAGTCACTATGAAATACTCACTGAAAAGAAATATCTCTGCACTCTATTATCGTTTTAATGAAAATAAATAGCATTTTCCAAAAAAACTTATTTTTAAACACACATATCTATCTATACAGATTGACCTGATGAAACTAACTAACTGTAAGTAATAAAATAGAAGGAACGAAGTAGATCGATCTGACTCTGATCTGCTAGGAATGAAGTTGAATTGAGATATACATAGGTTTCTATTTTTATTAGTATGTGAGTGGCCGAACTTATATCATGTAAATGATGATGCTTCAAAAGACATCTAGTTATAGTTTGTACCTATCACAGATTAACCTCAATCGGGGTACAGTTTAGAACCACAGAACACTGAACAGCTGTTTCATGCTAGCATGCGACTCTTCAACAAACTAGAACTAATCTCTACAAAACTCCTTTAAACAAACAGCTAATAAACTTTCTTTGGTATTTTATGTGTTACAAACATGCATATTATTTTACTGGAAGAAAAACTTACTATGCTAGCAAGCAAGTTATTATTTTTGGATAATAGTCCATTTGAGGACCCATGTCACTAATTCAAGATTTCGAGCAATTATAAATGGCTCTTATTATGTGACTGTACATCGTCTACCGACCACAGCTCCAATCATTATTTAAATAAGCCCAAACATTCGTCGTTATCAAAACTCAAAACTCCTCTATGACTAAGAAAATCAATTGCGTGCAATGATAAAAAAGGGACCAGTGGAGATGGTAAAGAATATATTCAGTCCAATTTCTAGGTTGACGCATAAAATATTACACACAACTTACCAAACCGCATATACAAACAAATAAAGATTCCGGAGATGTCATAGCAATCTAGAAACGTAATAAGTAGGTAAATCTGGATACTTACTTCAAATCCAAATATGTATGGAAATGATTTTCCAGTTATTGGGATCCTCATCACATGTGCAACGGGGACCCATGGAATGTCCAGAAAATAGGGCACAAAAAGTGGGAAAATCAAATTAAATCTAATAACGTAATATTAAAACGCTTATGCACAGTAACTTACGGTCCAGAAGGAAGTATATGAAGTGAAAAGTTTAATTTCCTCAAAATAAAAGCAATCAAAAGTTCGACGAATGTTGTCGTTGCAGCACAATAAAATAGGAATGACTAAATATGCATTAAGAATAATAAAACATAATATAAACCAAGGGAAGCTTGCCAGAAATTTTCTTGATCCATAGCGTCGTTCAAATATTCGAAAATAGTACAACAGTAATCCACCGCATACCAGATCTTTTGTACTAAGAAAAGGTAGTTGGCAAAGTGCTAATCTCCATATCTAATGTGCAAGATTATTTTGTAAGGAAAAAAATTCTCAAGATAGTTTTATTTTATACTAACCGATCCATTTTCGAAAATATCATCTAAATTATAGGTAAATATATCTTTCCGTTTTGAAAATGGCATTAATAGAATGAAGGAAAATATCACACTGAATGCCAGAAAACATTTGGTTACCGTAGTTTTATCTGGAATAAACATGTTAAAGTAAGAAATAAATTGGCATTAAAATAATTCGTAAATGCATGATAGAACTTTCAAGTAACTTAACATATGACATTGTCTAGAATACCATGAAGTTATCATCTGTTTCGTAGGTCTGTAGTCTATCGTTTTACACAGGTAACTCATGTGATCCCAGTCCTGTTTAATAAGGTCCAGGAAAGCGTGTGTTTGATTTGCAAACTTTACGAGCTATGACCAAAACTCATCAGAGTAATAAAGAATGATTATTGTTCAGCTTCCGCTAAAACCTCAACATGAACAATCCCGTGCTTTTTGTCTCCCGATTTTATTTAGTTACTTTTCTAAGTTTTGCTAGTTCGTGCTATGGTTGGTACCACTGACCTCTGTCTATGGTGTAAATTATAGAAAGTTTAACTGATACACAAGAGTCTCAAGGAATGTATTGATGGACTACTGTCAAGCTTCTGAGTGTTGTCTTTCATCCTCTAAATGACCTTACAAAAATAAAAAGCTCTAAAGAGACTCGGAACTGGAGAAGATATTGTCATAGTTCCAGAGGACAAAGGACGAACTACAGTATTCATTATTGCTCTTTACGAGCCAATCTTTCTCGAGTTTTGAGCAATCTACGAAATATGACAGAAGCCGATAGTTTGGACGCAATGGGAAGTAGACTTATCCCCTGATAGTTGGTACAGAAACGATGTGAACGATTACCGACTCATTCCATGATGCTGGAACACTCTCTAATTGCCAGGCCTTTGTGAACAACTCAGTCAGTTTCTTAACCAGAAAGTTGCCACCATCTTTAAAAGGGCTGGAAGTAAGTCATCTGGGCCTGGTGATTTGTAGCGTTTCAAGAGTTGGAGTTCTTTGTGGACTTCCGCATCGTTAGGTGGATAAGTTGCCAACGGCCATGGAGGGCAGGACAGCCTGACCTATGTTGCCGGAGCAGCAGGCCAGTGGAACTGCCCTTCGAAGGATTCTGTCCATCGTCCAAGACGTCGGTGGGTGTTAGTGATTGGCATCCCGTCATCTTCACAGATTGTTTCGCTTACAACAGACTTGCTGCTAGTGGCTCGGATGAGTTGGAAGAGCTTCCAACAGTTACCAGATGCAGCTGCTGCTCCCAGCTAATTAGAACGCTCCGATCACCAGGCTTCTGGGTCCTTACGCAAGTTTTGCCCGATTTCATTATGTAACATCCTTCGATTGTGGTCAAACTCACGGTCACCCGGAATAGACTGACGGGCTTCGATGAGTTGTAAGAAGCCTGAAGAAACCCAGTGCTTATAAGCGGGACGTTTCGCGAGGCCGCAAATGGCTTTAATCGTCATTTTCATGGCGCCATGCAGTTGCAACCCATGCTCATCTAAGGCAAACAAGGGCATGATCAGAGTCCAAATAAGCACTCCAAAAGGAGTAGAAGTCTTGTACGCAACCACGCCAGTGGTAGCTGATCACGATGTGATCAATCTGAGTCCTGGCTTCAGATGCAGAAGGAGGGCGCCAGGTAGCACATCGGTGACGAACTTCAGTAATAATGGACAAGAAAGAATATATCAGGAAAGCCGAGGAACTGCTTGAGCATGAAGACGTATATAAACCAATAGATATAAATCCAATCAAAGGTTAGACAACCAAATCTCAAGGACTTTAAACAAGCTCGTCAATGCAGGACAAATGCCAAAGCAAGATCTATGGAGAATGAAATCCAATGGACCAGTACTCCCTCGATATAAAAGACATATGAATTACGAGATTATTGAAACCGTTTGGAATAGGTGTAGCACACAAACCAGCAAAGTCACTCCAATCGATCCTATGCAAACCAGAGGACGAAATGACAAAAGAAGCAAGCCGAATATCATCTACAAAATAAGTTGTTTCAACTGCGAAAAGCGCTACATCGAACAGGGTGGAGGCCCCCTTCCTCCTCGCCTGCACGAACATAAACTGGCAGTCAATCGTCATGACATTCTCGCCTATATCAATGCATTTGAACAACTATGGACACATTCGACTGGAAAAATGTCGAGATCCTGGATAGAGGGAGTACTAAAAGCACCAGAGAATTTTTAGAAGCTTGGTGCTCAGGTCAATCAGCAATCAACTAACGCATTGAAATCGGTCCAATCTATCAACCAATCGGAAAAAAACATAGATAAATATAGAAACAAGAATCAAACCAATCGCAGCTACAGTCAAAATAAAAAAGTGGATAGTGACGGGCTAAAGGTCAACAATAACCGACCGAGACCGATGTCGACAGGACAAGCTGTGAGTCATATGTGGAGAAATTCGAGCACTTCACTTCTACCTGGAGTTTGTGCTGATAATGTTGTTCAAAAGAAAAATGAGAGTTCCAAGACCAAACCATTCAGCTCGCAGAACAAAACTCCACCTAAATAGTTGGTCATTCCCACTATCATAGATATTATTATTTGTTCATTTGCCATTCAGCTTGATTTGTTAGCTGTACCAATTTAGTTATTATTTGAACATATAAATATTAGTACAAGGGGGTACCAAATACATTGCACCACACAATAACAATGAGGCCAGTAGTAATTATCACGGATTTGTGTGAGGGCTTTGGTACTGCCTGGGTTCCCAGACCGAAGCAGGTGGTTTTCTCAGGGGGTCACACCCGGAGCCTTCGACCTAAAGGTCCGACCCACAAGGCAATGGAGCAACGTCAGAAGATGCAGTCCCATGGTAACCGGTGACCAACGATTGGTTCATACGCCATTTGTTCCATCAGTATCATGGAGCCCATGTTCAACGTTGGTTTGGGATCATGGTTTTCTAACCCCTAGGTGGACTCTCGGTGCCCACCAGCCTGGTTAAAGAGCCGGACATTCGCAGTAACTTGGGCTGATGCACACTCGTTCAAGATTCTCTCTTCACCGTAAGGTGAAAATGAATATCAAGAGGTCATCATTAGGGTGAGTGCAAACTGGAGAGTCTGTTAAATTTGCGGAATTTGAACTTCTGTGGTGTAAAGCACTTGTTTACACTATGGATGATCAGTGTTGTCCAAATGGATTTTATTTTCTCAATAGATTGAGACAATATTACTCATATGTTATATATTAAGGTATATAAGAAATTTTCTAACTTTATTAGTCACCTGTACAATATTCACTCACAGTAACATTTAAGAATGGATGTCCAGAATCTACCTGACTTCAATAACTGCTTAGAACAGACACCAGGTTCTTAGCTGCCACTGAAATGGATTCTTTCGTACAAAATTTCACTATGTTAATGAATCTATAAGGATTAGTTCACATCATAAATCCTGTAAAGTCACTCGAGTGATTTTAAACTCGAATTTCAACGTGTGAGAATATATATATATATATATATATATATATATATATATATATATATATATATATATATATATATATATATATATATGGCCATGTATACACCTAAACGCGTTGGCCATCTGCTAGTTATCTACTAAGGGGGAACAAAACACACCGAGACTACTTCGTTTTCTTTAAATTCCCTGGCAATATGATCATACACACGTTGAAATTCAAATTTAACAACTTACACACTTTATTCGGTCGCTCGTCAAAAAGAAATTTAACGGTAGAGGAACACCAAGGGTTAAGATGTGTAAACACGAGGACAAAGTGAAGCTTCATCCCTAAAGATGAGTACCCAAATTTTGATATTTGAATATGAAGGAGTTCGGGTGAACTCAAAGTTATCTAGCTGGGAAACTGTGCTTAGTGGAGTGCCCCAGGGTACAGTTTTGGGGCCAGTGCTATTCCTCTTGTATGTAAATGACCTTCCTCGTCTCCTATCATCATCGGTCTTGCCATATGCTGACGATGTCAAGATATGGAGAACGATACAATGTGAGGGTGATAGCTCAGAACTTCAAAATGACCTGAAGAAATTATCTGAATGGTCTGAAACCTGGCAGTTGCCGATAAATACTTCCAAGTGTGTTGTGATGCATATCGGTCATCAAGGTACAGATACATACACGATGAATAACACTGAGCTACCTGTCGTCCAGACACATAATGACAGGAGTCATCGTTAGCCAAGACTTAAAGACTACTGCACACTACCGTGCAATAGTGTGCTACGTCCTAAACTTGAGTACTGTATACAAGCGGCCAGCCCCTGCTTAAAAAAGACAGTGAGCTTCTGGAAAAGGTTCAGAGAACGGCAACTAAGCTGATTCCCAGAATAGCTAAGCTTCCGTATGAAGCTCGACTGGCCAAGCTGGACCTTTTCCCGTTGTCATATCACAGAACTAGAGGCGACTTGATTACAGCTTTCAAATTGCTTAGTGCCAAATTTGCACCTGATACGCCCTTATTTTTCTTGTCTTCCAAAACAAAGAATTTACGAGGACACTCCAAAAAAGTCCACAAGCCAAGAACAAATTACTTGTCAGTTGACTATCGACTTTCCCATCGAATCATCAACGAGTGCAACTCATTACCTCAACACGTGGTTAAGGCTCCATCCGTCAGTTCTTTCAAAAGAAAGTTGGATCAACTGAGATACCACCACTGCCAGGACTAACACAGGCCATCAGGCCTCCTGTCCTTCCCAAACTGGAACTGAAACTTGTGCCCGAAGCTGGTACATGTGTCGAATTATGAGATAACGATCAGAATTAATATAACGCTTTAAAACATTAAAGACTGACAGTGTTGGTAAGAGTGTGATTCAACCGAATAACTTACAAAAGCCAGAATGACTTTGGGGAGCCAGCATAGTAGCAACACTTGTAAATTTGCCGCAACCAAAATGGTTCAAATGGTTCAAATGGTTGTGGACGGAATAGAAGAAGCTTTCGCTTAACAGGCTTCCGTGTCTAGTAGCAGGGGATCACAAAATCCTCCAGGCAGGAACCTAGGTATGTTAACAATAAAAGAGGAAAAGAAATTGGTAAATCATAGTGTGATGCTGTCCTTGGTTCTTAAGAATAGGTCAAGTTGCCTCTTGAAGGACTCCTGAGAAGTCGCTTGGACTAGCTCGGCCGGCAGCGAGTTCCAGCTTTTGACAACTCTTAAGGAGTAGAAGTTGTGTCTACATTCCGTCTTGCTATGTTGTGTTTCCAGTTTCTGGGTGTTACCCCTTAGGTTATTATTCGAACTAAGCTTAAGTAGGTGTTTAAGAGGATGTCCAGAAGTGTTAAGAATACTATAAGCCATTAATAAATCACCTCTAAGACGCCTATACTCTAGTGGGTAAAGGTCTAGTGAACGGAGGCGTTCTTCGTAAGGCTTAGATTTGAGTCCTCGAACTGATTTCGTGGCTCGCCGTTGGATATGCTCCAAAGCGACCTTGTCCTTTTGGAGTGAGTGGGGGAGTACTATGTTTCCGTACTCTAAATGGGGACGGATGAAACTATTGAAGATTGTGTGGAAAGTTCTTCCGTCAAACTGGCCAAAAATGCGCCTCAACGTTACCAGTGCAAGGTTTGCTCGGAAGGCATTTTTGTCACAGTTAGCGTAAGACTTTAAGTCATGGGGCACCAGGACTCCTAAATCTTTTTCGACTTGGGATACTACTTGAGAGGAGTTTCCTAAGTTGTAACTGTAGTTTGCGACATGTCGCAGATGGACTACTTTACACTTTGAAGTGTTAAAGGTAAGTCCGTTATCGTCTGCCCAACTTTGAAGTCGCGTCAGATCCTCCTGAAGTGCCTGTGTATCGTCTTGGTTGCGTATCTCTCTCCAAAGTTTCACGTCGTCGGCAAAAAGTAATAAGTCTGACGTCACCTGTTGAGGAAGATCATTTATGTAGATCAAGAAGAGAAGAGGCCCTAGTACTGAGCCCTGGGGGACCCCACTAGGACATTCCATAGCCTGAGATAAAGTGAAATTAACCCTAACCTTAAAGTGTCGATTTTTTAGGCATGAAGTAAGCCAGTCGATTAGAGGTGGTTTGATACCTAGTCGTTTGAGCTTGTTGATAAGACACAAGTGGTTAACCTTATCAAAAGCTTTTGAGAAATCAAGGTAAATGACATCAACCTTTCCCTTGCGATCGAGGATGCTTGTCCATCTGTCCACCGCAGTCAGCAGGTTGGTTATACAAGAGTAACCCTTCCTGAAACCATGCTGTTGGGGTGAGAAGAAATTTAAGGACAGTAGATAGTCGTTTAAACCGTCGCATATCAGGGACTCCATGAGTTTTGAAGGTAATGACAGAAGAGCCACCGGCCGATAACTTGAAGGTTCATTGCGTCGACCACCTTTGAAAATTGGTGTGATGTGAGCCAACTTCCAATTTTCCGGTAATTTGCCTCGGCTAAGCGAGTGTGAAAACATCACGCTAAGCGGCGTTGCCAGGATTGAGGCTGCTTCCCTCAGTATGGCAGGATGAACCATATCCGGGCCAGGAGAAGTATCTAGTCTTAAGTGCTGCAATTTCCGGAACACCAAGTCAGCGCTTAGGTCCACTTCAGAAAGTCCTGTGGAATTGCAGATGAAACTGTCGTCAATAAAGTTGATGTCAGCCGGTTGAAATGTTTGGGAGTAATGTGCCGCCAGAAGGTTAGCGGCGTCGCCATCATTGTTGGTCGGGCCGTTAAGACCTAGCAGTTGAGAAACTCCTGTTTTGGCTTGACGTAGAGAGGCTGCATAACGGAATAGGCTTCTAGGGTTAGAGGCGAATTTGTCCATAAGCTTTGTTTGGTACTGAAGCCTGTCTTCTCTTATAGCCTTCGTGCATATGTTCCTGATATGTTTATATTGCCTATACGCTCCATCGTTATTAGTTCGTTTGTATTCCAATATCTAATATTTTTGACGGATGACCTTGTCTTCAGTTTTCGGTTATTAGGATAGTAAGTTGATAGACTTGTGCTAATCCTTAGAGTTTGCTTTCTGGTGAGGCTCCAGTTTCTTTTTGAAAGTGCTCACTGACTAGGCTGATACCGCATGTTCGAGTAGGGCATTCCAGTCGTTGACCAGTCGATAAGAAAAACGGAACCTCACTATGAGTCTATCAGATCGCGACTTTTCAACCATCTTGTTATGGCTTCGAAGATTATTAGTGCCTAATGGGACAAAGAGATAGAACATACTAACACCCAAGTCGTAATTAAAGATACGAAATGCCCTATAGGTCACCTCGACTTCTACAAGATGATAAGGGGAAAGGTTCAAGCATTTTAAGCGCTCATCATAAAAGAGTTTGGAAAGACTTTTGGCTAATTTTTTTCCTGCACACTCAACATGCTTAAGTGAGTTAGTGTCCTAAATAAGACATGTGCCGACCGCTTGGACACAGTACTCTAGATGTGGTCTGACGTAGGTGGAATAGAAAATTCGAAACATCTGGTTAAAGGATTTGAATGCTTGGCAAAGTCTGTGCAAATGATTATGGTCCGTGACCCTTAACAATAAATTTCCTCCCAAACGGTCACTATTTTTCGGAAACGGAGTGATTTACGTTTCGTTTAAAGTGGTCACATCCAGTCTAATTCTGTCCGTGTTTAAAGCTAGCTCTGACTGCATGATGAGCAAGTCTCACTCATTCTTATCTCAACGCCATTTAGGTGCTTGAGTATTGGGTCTAGAGCACCTGAAACATAACCTGCTCCACAACACCGTTACCCTAAAACTATCTGGTGACCCACTGATGCGACCAAACATCTTGGATGTTTGTTTACATTTGGTGTCGCAACTCCAGAAGTCAGTGCTTTTTGCAGAAAGGCTATGGAACTGGAAAAATTAATCTGGATTATTGCTCAATGTGGAGAGAAAATATCAGAAGTGATTCTAATTTCCCATAGAAGACTGTTTTCTAAAGACCAATTAATTTTCGGTAAAAATTACAACTTTAGTGAGTGTTTACCGAGACCACTTATGTCTTACTTATTTACATTCGCTTGTTACTACCATTGGGGCATAGGCCGCCGACCAGCATTCTCGAACACACACTGTTCTGGGTTTCCCTTTACAGTTCTGTCCAATTCTTGTTCATTTTTCCCATGTCTGTCTCCATTTCTCGGCGTAATGTGTTCTTTGGTCTTTCTCTTTTCCTTTAGCCCTGGGGATTCCATGTGAAGGCTTGTCTAGTGACTCAGTTGGGTGCTTTCCTCAATGCGTGTCTTATCCACTTCCAGCACTTCTTCCTGACTTCTTCCTCCGCTGCGATCTGGTTTGTTTTCTCCCATAGTAGATTGTTGCTTATAGTGTCTGGCCAAGGGATCCGAATTATTTTGCGTAGACAAATGTTAATAAACACCTGTATCTTCTGGATGATGGCTTTCGTAGTTCTCCAGGCTTCCGCCACATACAGTACAACTGTCTTGACATTTGTATTGAAAATTCTTACATTGGTGTTGGTTGACAGAGAGTTGTTTCGAGTTCCAGATGTTCCTCAGTTGTATATATGCTGCTCTCGTTTTGCCGATCCGCGCCTTCATATCTTCATCAGATCCACCGTGTTCATCAATGATACTGCCCAGATATGTAAAAGTTTTCACATCTTCCAAATCGTCTCCGTCAATTGTGATTGGATTGTTGCATGCTGTGTTGTGTCGGAGAATCTTGCTTTTCCCTTTGTGTATGTTGAGACCTACTGCTGCTGAGGCTGCTGCTACACTGGTCGATTTCTCCTGCATTTGTTGTTGCGATTGCGATAAGAGGGCCAGATCATCTGCGAAGTCTAGATCATCCAGCTGCATCCTAGATGTCCACTGTATCCCGTGTTTCCCTTCAGATGTTGACGTCTTCATAATCCAGTCGATCACCAGGAGAAAGAGAAAGGGTGAGAGTAAGCAACCTTGACTGACACCGGCCTTTACTTCGAACGAATTTGTCAATTGTCATCCATGCACGAGTTTGCAGTTTAATCCATAATAGGAATTCTGTATGATATTGACTATCTTTTGAGGCACGCCGTAGTGTCGAATAAGCCTCCATAGTGTTGTCCTATCCACGCTATCACATGCTTTTTCGTAGTCAATGAAGTTGATGTAGAGTTATGAATTCCATTCAATTGATTGTTCCACAATGATCCGTAGTGTTGCGATTTGGTCTGTACACGATCTATCCTTACGGAATGCAGCCTGTTGGTCACGAAGTTGGGCGTCTACAGAGTCCTTCATTCTGTCTAGCGATACCCTGTTGAAGACTTTTCCTGGTATTGAAAGAGGAGTGTTGCTCCTGTAGTTACCATAGTTGCTGAGACCGTCTTTCTTTGATATTTTGATCAGAAGTTCTTCTTTTCAGTCTTTTGGTACTTGTTCCTCATCCCAAATCTTATTGAAGAGAATGTGGAGTATCCTTGCAGTTGCCGCTACGTCTGCTTTCAGTGCCTCTGCTGGAATGTTGTCTGGTCCCACTGCTTTGGAACTCTTGATTTGTCTGATGGCCATACTGATCTCTTCGATTGTTGGTGGGCCAATATCGATTGGGAGGTCCGTGTGTGCTGCTTCGATGTTGGGTGGGTTCGGTGGGGCTGGTTGATTCAAGAGTTATTTGAAGTGTTCTACCCACCTGTTTCGTTGTTCTTTTCACTGGTCGTTCTAGTTTACGATAACTTCCAGAGAGTTTCTTTTTCTTATATCATACAGCTCTCTCATGTTCCCTTCTCTTTACTTCTGTGTATTCAGCTTGTGCCTTGGCTTTCTCTGCTCTTGTTCGGCTGGTGTTGATTGCTGCCTTCTTGTTCTTCCTTTGTTGAATCTTGTCCAGCGTATCGATAGTGATCCATTCCTTGTGATGGTGCTTCTTGTGGACCAGAACCTCATGACATGTTGAAGTGATTGTCTCATTTATCCCTTTCCGATATCTCTACATAGTAGTTCACTGT